TGTGGGATGGGGGGAATGTGGGATGGGGGAATGTGGGATGGGGGGAATGTGGGATGGGGGAATGTGGGATGGGGTCCCTCACCTGTCCAGCAGGACCTCAATGGTGAGTTGTTTGTATCTGTGGGGACAGTCAAGGGAAATGTGGGATCACAAACCCCTTGGAGCTGGGACAAGGAGCGCCAGGCACTGCCCAGACTCTGTGAGCCTCCCTGCTCCAGGATGGGGCACCTATGCCAGGTGTGGTGAACGTGGGGGTCTCAACCCTGACCCCCTTCCATGATTCCCAGGTGTGATGAGTGTGGGCGTCTCAGCCATGACCTTTCCATGATTCCCAGGTATGATGAGTGTGGGGGTCTCAACCCTGACCCCCTTCCATGATTCCCAGGTGTGATGAGCGTGGGGGTCTCAGCCATGACCTTTCCATGATTCCCAGGTGTGATGAGCGTGGGGGTCTCAGCCATGACCTTTCCATGATTCCCAGGTGTGATGAGCGTGGGGGTCTCAGCCATGACCTTTCCATGACTCCCAGGTGTGATGAGCGTGGGGGTCTCAGCCATGACCTTTCCATGATTCCCAGGAGCGTCCCAGCCCTGCAGCCCCAGCACCGAGGGGCTCCATCCCCCCCGGAGAGGCCCCTCCGGCCCCGATCCCACCCTGGATCCCATGCCAGCCCCTGCAGCTGTGGATACTGGGTGAAGGTGAGTGGGATGCCGATCTGGTAGTCCCGGATGGCGTTGAGGACCCGCAGGTCCTGGCACATCCGCACGAAGCTCTCCGGGGGGAACTTGTCCAGGAAGCACTTCCCGAAGGAAGCTGCCTGTGGGATCAGGTGTGAGGGGGGAGGGAGGGAGGATCTTCGGCCTGCCCCTCCTCCCCCTCGCCCTGGCTCACCCTCAGCAGCGATTTCTGGGTGTGGGGTTCGTGCTCGTAGCCCGCGGCCTCGATGCACTGGCCCACGGCCTCGGGGAGCAGCTGCTGCTCCCGGATCTCCCGCAGGTACTCGTCGGCCTTCTGGCTCTCCTTCTGCAGGGATGGGGAATGGGAGACCCCCAGGAAAGGGGGACACGGAGCTCAGGACGGACCCCCAGGAATGGGGGACCCCTGGGAATGGGGACACAGAAGGCTCAGGAAGGACCCCCGGGATCCCCCCGCTCCCACCCCAGGAGGGGGGATGTACCTCGTACTCCTTCTGTGCCTCCAGCAGCAGAGCCCCCGGGGCCATGGAGGCAATCCGGAAGATTTCCTGGCTGGCCTCTGTGGGAATTGGGATCAAACACACCTGAGAGGCTGCTCTGGACCAGGGGTGTCACCTGCACCTGCTGGCACTGCTCCCACCTCCCTGTGTGCAGCACCAGGGAGAGCCCAGCACCATCCTGGTACAGGGACTGTGCAATGGGTTGGGTGGGAAAGGACCTCAAATCCAGTGCCATCCCGTGCCATGGGCAGGGACACCTTCCACTATCCCAGATTGCTCCAAGCCCTGTCCAACCTGACCTGGACACTCCTAGGGATGGGGCAGCCACACCCCAGGTGCCCAGCAGGGATGTGCCCCCCAGCCCATCTCACCTGGTATCTCGTGCAGGAACTCGTGGGAGGTGCGGGACAGGATCCGGACCCCGTCCAGCTCGGGCACCAGGTGGGAATCCTCATCCAGGACAAAGCTGTGCTCCCGCTAAGGGCTGGGGGGCACACGGCTCCGGGGGCAGCCCCAACCCCCCCACTGCTGAGGGACCACGGGGCTGGGAGTGCTCAGAGGGGAGGGTCCCTTCCTCCCCTTTTCCCTGCCAGGATGGGGCCAGGTATCCCCGTAAATACCTCTCTCTGGGACAGCAGAAGGAAGGACCTGGGAGGGAGTGGGGGGACTGGGAGCGTCCCATGGGACAGGGAAAGGGCCTGGGAGCGACTGTGGGGGCTGCAGAGCACTTTGTGGGGGCAGGAATCCCCCAACCACCCTGGGCAGGGCCAGTGCTCCCACCACAGGGAGTGGCACCCCCAGAACAGGGGGGCTTGGAGGGGTTGGGGGAGCTTTGGTGCTCCCCAGGAGCAGGGAGGGGAGGGGGATCCCAGCAGCACACGGTCACCGTCCTGTGCCCACCTTGGGGGGCTCCGGGGGGACCCCCGGGGACAGCAGTGACCGTGGCAGGCAGGAGTTTGGGCTGGGCTTTGGGAACATCCCCGGCCCCTCTTCCCAAAGGATACCGGATGCACTCCGAGGAATTCCCCACCACCATGAGCTGCCGCTCCCAGGCCACCACCACGGCTCGCTGCCGGCTGCGGGGCCGCGTGCACCTGGGGGACCCCACCCATGAACCCTGCCACCCCCACGGCTGGGGGGACACCAGGGGGACCCTGGGCACTGCCAGGGGCAGGGGTGGGGCAGGGACCACCCACTCACCAAACCATCTGCTTGGGGGGGGAGCGGACGGTGCTGTTGAACTCGCAGAGCTTCTCCTGGGGGAGAGAGGGGGGATCAGGGAACACACCTGGGCAGCTGGGGTGGGCCCCAGGAGCGTGGGAGCCAGGGATACACTCAGGGGAAGGACACCCCAATTTTCATTTTTTTAAAATCAAACTAAACCAAGTCCATTCTAATTCCAACTTAAGAAAATTATACCAAGAAAAGAATTTCACTTGTGGAAAAAAAAAAAAAACACGCTACATTTCACATCTGGGCTTTGCTTAAGTCATAAAATCACTCATTAATTTTTTGCCTGATTATTTAAAATGTATCCCCACTGCTGTGGCTCCAGCAATTCAGACTTTGTACACTGCTGAACTCTCTCCTCAAACTTCCAATATGGCCACACTCAGACAATCCTTCCGTACATGATGCATATCATATGTTATATATTATATATATACATGGGCTCCTGCAACCCTGAGCACGTGGGGGCCCCCAGTGCCCCCCCAGGCTCACCTTGAGCGTGGCCAGGCCCATCCAGATGTACCCAGAGTCGCAGAACAGGGCGAGGAGCCGGTGGTTGAAGGACACAGCCATGTGCAGGAACGGCCCTGCCGAGGGGCTCAGCCCGGGGGGAGTCTGGGCAGGACAGGAGGGGATGTGGGGACACTTCCTGGGGTCCTAGAGTGTCCCCCCTGGGTGGGGGGAACTGGGGAAGGGTCAGAGCTGGGTGGCCCTTCCCTCACCCCTCTGGGCAGGATGGGGCAGCAATGGGACAGCGGCAGGGAGGATCTGGGAGAGAGTGTGGAGGGCTGGGAGCATCCTGTGGGACAGGGAAAGGACCTGGGAGCATCCCCTGGGACAGGGAAGGACCTGGGAGCATCCTGTGGGACAGGGAAAGGACCTGGGAGCATCCTGTGGGACAGGGAAGGACCTGGGAGCATCCTGTGGGACAGGGAAGGACCTGGGAGCATCCTGCGGGACAGGGAAAGGACCTGGGAGCATCCCCTGGGACAGGGAAGGACCTGGGAGCATCCTGTGGGACAGGACAGACAAGGGAAGGACCTGCCATGGAGCGTGGGGGCTGGGAGCATCCCATGAGACAGCAGGGACAGAGAAAGGACCTGGACACAGGGACAGGGCCCACAGCACCCCCATTCCCACATTCCCATTCCCTCACCACACTGGAGCAGGAGGTGTTGTCCAGCAGGAAGAGCTCCGGTCCCACGGCCAGGAGCACCACGGTCACCCTGTCCTGGGACAGCACAGCCCAGCACGCTGGGGGCTGCTGCAGCCCTGGGGGACAGCGTGTGACAGGGGGCACAGGGGACACAGGGGGACACAG